TTCAGCTCTCTAAGGTCTCTTTGTGGTTTAATGGATAAAACACATTCTCAAAGCAGCAACAACAGGGTAATTTCTTGGTGACAGAAACAGAATTTTAGGATGCACTATTCTATGGTTGTCTTAATTTAGTACACATTTGGGATGAAACCAATCCAAAAGCTTCTGATCAGTTTATTTGAACTGCTGATTCCATGTAATATAGCAGGGGTTTTCAACATTTTTAAAGAAGTGTACCCCTTTTGGTGGCTGGGGGGCAGGGGAAAGCTTGCACACAGTGGTTGCCACCACCACCCGCTGTGTGCAGTTCTGCAGGCTGCTGACAGGCCTTGCACGCAGCCTGTCAGCAGCCCGCGGAGCCACGTGTGTGACTGGCCGCAGGAAAACAATGTGCAGCAGTGCCACGGGGCAGTGGGCAGTGGTGTGTGGCGGCGCTCCATCCCCACTCACCTGTGCATATCCCTTAGGACCTTTCCAAGTACCCCTAGGGGTATGCGTCCCCCCAGTTGACAACCCCTATAATATAGAAATAGTCACAGTGCCCATATTTTTAAAGTACCGTATAAATATAATTTACTGATTAGCATAACCCTACACAATAGATTTAGTGCACTACTAGTGTTTTCTTTGTTGCTTAGAAGCTATGTGAAAATACTACATTAATGAGGATGAACATACCTACAAGCCCAAATTTTTTAGCCTTAAAAGAAAAATGAAGTTTTTTATTTCCCACAACACTACACGTGCAAAGCACAAAATTCTTTTGTCTTAACTTGAAACTCACAGAAGTTTTATCTGGATTCAGCAGCTCAGGAAGTAATAGCCTGTCATGTAGGTACAATGACTGCACTTGAGGTGATCATGAAATGTATAGGAAAAAGCAAAACTTGTCCCACACTATTGCTGTACTGTCCAGAAAGGCTTAAAATATTCCCTTGCTTGTGGCAAATCGGAAGCTTTCCCAAATGAATGCCATCAACTTGTAAAGAAGTAAGCTTTAAAAAAAAAATTGAGTACTTTTTTCCATGAATAAAATCTAAATGTGAACTAAATGTAAAGTAATGTAGGTCTCCAATCTGAAGTTTTCAGGCACTTCTAATGCCTTTTGCAGCAGTTGTAGAGAACCCCGTGGACAGCAGATCAGCTGACAAGAATTTGGTAGATTTCACTGGTATGAACAGTAATAGAGACGATAATTAAAGCTGTTCGGTAGGAAGCAAGATTCAAAAGCAAGGGTTGAAAAGACTAAGAAGAGTACAAAAGAGTCTTTTATAGTGGTCAGGATATATGTAGAAGAAGAGCTGAGGGTAACATCCAGTTCTTTTCCAGATATATCTGATAAACTGTAACTCTGATATGTGACCTTAATTAAATGTAAGGGAAAGGATTTTTTTCAATAGCAGACTGCCCAACTACAAACGCAAAGATGAATGACATGTTTCATGCTGCATTTTATCTTGGGGAAAATAAGATACATAATTCAGCATTGAAATGAACATGGGCCAACAGTGTGGGGACTTGGTCAGGAAGGCCAACCATACCTTGTCATGCATCCACAGATGCATCTCAGGTAGGTCCAAGGAGGTGATCCTCCCCCTCTATGCGACACTGATCAGGCTGCAATTGGAGTACTGCATCCAGTTCTGGGCGCTGCACTTCAGGAGGGATGTGGACAACATGGAGAGGGTCCAGAGGAGGGCCACTCCCATGATCAGGGGTCAGCAGGGCAGGCCCTACGAGGAGAGGCTAAGGGACCTGAACCTGTTCAGCCTCCACAACAGAAGGCTGAGGGGGGATCTAGTGGCCGTTTACAAACTAGTCAGAGGGGACCATCAGGCATTGGGGGAGTCCCTGTTCCCCCCAGCATACCAGGAGTGACTAGAAATAACGGTCACAAGCTGGCAGAGGGTAGATTCAGACTAGACATCAGGAGGCACTACTTCACTGTCAGGGCGGCTAGGATCTGGAACCAACTTCCAGGAGAAGTGGTGCTGGCTCCTACCCTGGCAGGTCTTTAAGAGGAAGCTAGATGACCGCCTTGCCAAGGTCGTTTGACCCCAATACTCTTTCCTGCCATGGCAGGGGGTCGGACTTGATGATCTGCTCAGGTCCCTTCCGACCCTACCAACTATGATAGTATTATGTGGCTTATTACCTTGATACTGAGGAAAATTGAAAGGTGGACAAAGACAGAATAGCTTCTGACTTTCACTTCTTGTTCAGGGTTTGAGGACAGTATAAGTGCCATCTGAATCAATGTGAGATTTTAAAGATATGAAGTGGTAAATTAGATTTAATGCTAGAGAGGTAGCATACTTCTTGGTTGAGACATTTTGCTGCCCCTTAAAACTGAATAACTGTTTCTAGATAGTAATGAGACATTTCACGCTTTGCTGAAACTTCAAGGCTGCTGAGCATTAGCATTTTTCTAAATTGCTCATTGATACTGATGACATGAAGCAGGTCGCCTATAAGATTTCAGAAATGGTCAAGAAATGACTCCGAGTCATGTCTGTGCCTCAGAGTAGCTAGCTTCCCATTCTTGGACAAACTATGCACTAATTTCTTTACCTGGTACAGCCTTTTTGAACCCAATGAGAAGGAACAGGTAGGGACTGGGTAAGAGAGCACAGAGTTTTTTCCATGTAATTTCAGATGGTGACTAGAAAATCCACTTTCCCAAAGAAAGGCAGCTTCCACTTTTTCTGAATTGCATAAAGAGAGTCCATCATCAAGGTACGCCACTTGTTTCCTGCTCTGCTCATTTGGAGAGGTGACTAATCAGTATAAAAGGCTGCCTGTTAAAAACCTGTTGCTATTGATTTGTGATTGAGAGAAAATTACCTCAAGGCCCCTGCAGACATTATATTTATCATGTGATTAACGTGTTCTGCAAATTAAATAGTAACATGCTAGACATTCAAGCAATAAATCACGCGATAAAATGGCAAATCTACTTAAAAAATGGCAACCTCACATCCAAGAAGTTTCTGATTGAATGTGGGCGAGGGAGAAAGGAAAAGCAGCTGGCTCTTCCAGCAGCAACGAGCTGTTAGGGAGAATTGGGTGCAGCCCTGTCCCTGCTGCCACTGCGTAGCGAAGCCTGCAGGCTGTCTGAGAAAGTCTATACAAACACGGTCCTGTCGCAGCAATGGAGACGGGGCTGCCACAGTCCTGAAGCTTTAAAGGGGGCAGCTAGTGCTTCAACATCGGCAGCCCATTAAAGCATTGGGAACTTTAAAGGGCTCCCAAGTAGCCCCATGCTGGGTTCAGCTTGGTCTCAGGCTGCCCAAGAGCTGGGAGCTTTAAAGCATTCACAAGCCTGTCTTTTGAGTCCTTTAAAGTTCGTTTGGGGGAGGGGGGTGCAGAAGGAAGCTGTGGTGCTTGCCTTTCTGGCAACCCTGCTGCTTTCTAGCCAAGAGGTTTTGAACGTGTGGCTGGTCGTAGCATTTTATTTTTAGTAGCACTACACATTTTGTGATGTTACAAAAAATGTTCGGAGTTGCCCCAAGAGAAAGAGAATATCTCAACATCTTCATAGAAGCATAACATTGTAGTTAAAATTTACAGCTGCATTTCTTTCAAAATACAGACTGCAATACTGAAAAAAAAATAGTTTGTCAGCAATAGTTTATTGCTGTCATTAATAATGACTTCGATGACTGTTATATTAGAATTGTAGCAAATTAGATGTGAAAAGTGGTCATCCAGTCCAACCACCTGCTCAAAGCAGGATCTCCCCCAACTAGATTATCCCAGCCAAGGCTTTGTCTAGCTGGGTCTTAAAAACCTCCAAGGATGGAGATTCCACCACCTCTCTGGGTAAAACAGTGGTATGCTCCCTGACCCTTGAACTAGCATATCTCAAGTTCTTGAGGCAGGTTAGGTTCATATTTGGATGGAAGGAAATGGTACGCTTCACAGCCAGGAATATATTCTCTTTTATCGAGAAAGCTGTATCACTCCATGAAAACACAGTATTACACATATTTGTTTACCTGGCAGTTTCATTTTTGTTAACATTGTACTACTCTTGACATTGTTGGAACTGTGTCCAGAGTTGCTTATCTGCCCCTTGCAGAGAGCATTTTAGGAAACGATTTTCAAAAGCATATATCCCTTTGTAAAATGTGACTCAGAAGCCTAAGAGCCAGATCCTATTCTAGCATTAGGCACTGAACTAGGCTCCTAAGTGTGTTCATATCCCACCCTGCTTAAGTCCTAGAAAAAATATGTTATCTCATCTACTTTTATAACATGCCATCATCTTAGCCTTAAGACTTAAGTCACAAAAAAGCAGAGAGCATCCACCTTTTGTGTTGAATCTTTTTCAAGGACTTAAGCAGGGAAGAATAGAATCACACTTAGGTACCTAAAGCTCATATGGTGGGGCTTAGGACCTGGGCCAAAGTCTCATTGACACTTAGTGAAATTAGTTTCCTGAGCATTGGATCCTTTTGAAAATGATACTCTTCCCCTTCAGTCCTGTTCAGTTTATTTAGACTGAGAATTCTGTGGAGCAGGGGCTGTCTCTTTCTGTGTGAGTGTACAAAGGCACAACAGGCCATGGATGCCAGGCACTAATGTAATGCAGGTGATGCATTTAATCTTACTCCTGGTCTTCAAACTAGGCATTTGCAGCTTCCTTTTTAAAGATCGGTGGTTTTCGAGCACTTGCACTTTTGGATAGAAAGTTGTTGGCTGTAGAATTTCAAAAGCTAATACAGAATCACAGGAGGGTTCAGGAAAAGCATGCTGGTAAAAATCACAGATTCTTTCCCCTGCGTTATGGCAGTGGGAAGAAGAGTCTGCTTCCTAGACTACTTCTCTTGGATCTCATGAGAATTTAATCCCTATTTTCATTCCTATCTGTCCTTGTATTTCAATTTATCAGTATAGGCCTTTAGCCAGCAGACAACTGATGCTGCTTTGATTTTTTTTTCTAAAATGAGCATTGTGGTGGATAATACAGAAGTTAATGTGTTCATTTCTTTCCCCATTAGAAATCCCTGACTTTGTGAACAGCAAGCATCTTAAAATTTTCAGGTAAGTTTGTGTTGTCATGTTTAATCATTTATATATTCTGTGTGCACCTAACAGGACATTGCTGCTTCTACTTAAAAAAGTACCCTCCACAAGTGTTGGTAGAATTTCTTTTGTTTGAAGGAAAACTGATGAAATACTGACAGTATACTTAATAAGTCATTTCTTAGCAACCACAACCTAAAAAGTATAACTTGCTACCTGCTAACAAGTAGTTATTGAAATATTACAAGGTTTAAAGCGCTGAGACTGTTATGGTTGAGTTCTTGTAACTTCAGTGACTAAATTTTAGGTATTTTCAAACAAACATGTGCCTGAAATTCCCTGTCTGCGTTTTTAGCAGTTCATATAGCAAAACAACCTAGGGCTATGCTATAACGACAGACATGAGGGATCAGATTTATGGTTCTGAGAAGTCAGTAAGGAACACAATGGAGGCAGTCTCATTTGGGAAACTCTTCCAGGTAGTTATAGAGAGAGCATTTTTTCTACAACTGTGCCTAGAGAGTCGTTTTTTAACCAGCCAGACAAACTAATATAGAGGATCAAGACACTAAGTTTAACAGTGAATGGAAAAGTGCGTTAGCACTATTCCTACCACTCTCTTCTCTGTCCAAAAAAGAGGCTAAATAGTAATTCTCATCTCAGTTACCCTATAGCAGAGTGGTTTATGTTTTGTATAGTCTGAACATAAACTTAAGTAAGCCAGTTTGAGTTTAGAGTTCAATCTTAAGTGGGTGCATCATACAAGCTCTATCTTTAAAAAAAAGTGTTGTATTGCTTGTGCACGAAGATTATTGTTTCCATTTTCTAAGGTCTCAACATAATTGGGTTTTTATATGGCATAAGATATCTATGCCAAGAGTGTAGTAGGCTTCATGATTGGCTCTTTGTAGATGATAGCTCTTGGGAACTTGCATTGCATGGGTCTATGATATTTAATATTTTTCTCCACAACTAGTTCTTCCATAATTAGAGCTTTCTTGTAAGTTATTTTGATTCTGGTTGTGAGGCAGTGGACCAGATAAAACTTAGGTTTGGTTTGAGATGATTACTCCTATGTCCCTTCATAAAATTTAATCCTTAAATCTGCATTTTTAGAGGTACAGAGTGAGTAGTAGGTGTGCCTGTAATAATCATGCATTAATTGGTTAAATGGTCTCAACTCAGCATGATAAATGAGCATTTTCCCCATGGCAATGTAAGCCTGTAATACAAGTAATAATATCCAGTCAAGGGACAGGCTATATTTATCTAGCAAAAATTATAAGAAGCCTTAATTGGGTGACGAAGTGAATTACTTGCCATACCTCAGGCTGTTGTGGCTATAAGGAAGGAAGCAGCTTTGGAGGATTTCCCCCAGGTGTTAGGAAGATTGAAGTGTTGTGTTTTTACAGGGGACTCTGCAGAAGTAAACCCCTCCAGCTGTTGTCTGTTCAGATTGATTTACTGTACCATGATGATTGTGATAGAAGTGGTCCGTGGATTTATTACCTTGTTAGCACTGTCTTTTTAAAAATGATCAATATATTTGCTTTTGCCCTCAAGAAAAATAATCTTTTATGTATAATTATTGTACTGAAGCATGGATTGTGTAACTTTTACACCGGGCCTAACATGTGACAATTAAATGAGTCCTTCCTCATGTATACAGCCTGTAGCTTTTAAATTTAAATTACAAGTGCTTTGTATCTCCTTGAAGTCAGTCATACAACATTTCTCATAGATCATAACAAAAAATTGTCTTCTGGTAGATGTAAAATTAGCTGCACATGTTGAGTTCCGCATATTGAGCAAGTGGAGAAGCTCATCCAACTTGCACATTTATTATTTTACGTACATGAGAGTCGCATCTGTCATCTTTGAATCCAATTGACTAAAAGTCAGCAGTTCTACAGAATAGAAATTGATCATGGGAGTGAAGTGAATTGTGAGCTATGTAGATATGTAACTTTTTAACTGATTTAAAGGGAGAGAGAGTTGTCACTTGGGAGGTCATATCAGCTGTTGTGATGCAGTCATTACTTCATCATGGTTTTAAAGAGGTACACATGTACTGAACCACTGTAATTTTAACCCTGGATCTAACAGACTTAAATTATAACAGTTTTGCTATATTTTTAGCTTATAACAGGTTTTTGGACCCTAATACGATTGGCATGTATATCTGTACCCAAATACTCTGGGGGCTTTTCAGGGTCACTTATCTCCTAGAATCCAAGGGCACTTGACAAACTAGATGAGTCATTTAATAGACCACCAAGATGCCTTAGGTATTTTACCCAGTCTCTGCAGTAGTGCCATATATGCATTCAGGAGAGGGAGAAAAGAACATTTTATCCATGTGAAAACTGCAGGGGGAATTTAAATCGATAGTGTGATTTAGAAAGACATACACAGTTGATTTAGCATTTGTGCAGGGATGCTGAGCTCTACTAGTCTTAAGTTTCTTGGCTTGCGTCTCATCCAAAGACAGCATCCCCACCAACCCCTATCACTATGCAGGGAGAAGTAGAAACTTGGGAGGGAAGAATTACAACCTCATAAATCGGGAGCACAACCTCCTGCAGAACCTTGGGTTTTTCTTAGGCATATACAGATTTGTCTGAGATTTTTAAAGTCACAGACTAATATAGTATACACAATTCCTATAGTGTTGCATAGAGTAGCATGCATTTTAACCAACTTTATTTTTTCTTTTTATGGTCTGCTGTATTTGTTCACAGATTTACCCTGAGATTGTCTATCTGCTGATCCTAACTCAGCACCCCACTAAGCGTAATGATTGGCTACCTTTTTCCTGGTACTTTCCCAGCAATCTTCTCTCTCAGCTGAATAGTCACTAGCTTCATGTTATTTTCAGGTCCCTTGTTGATATGCTATGCTTTCTGACAAGCACCCTTTCACAAACATGAGCAGCTGAATGGAGAGAGAGTGGCAGGGGAACTGGTCACACCAGACCCACCTGCAGAGGTTGGAGACTAAAACTGCTTACTGCAGCAAGCCATCTTTGATTACAGAATTGCAACTCTACTCAAAGGATTTTCAGGCAGGATATGCAACCAAGCAGTAATTAATTCCTCAGGGTTCTGTATTTTAATTGTTAGTAATTTCTGTGACATCACTTTTGTCCCCCTTTAAGAGAATGGAATGGTGATCTGAAGAAACTGCCAAACATTAAAATGAAAAAGTTGTCTGCCAAAGATGCCATGTGCAATAGGACTGACGAGGCAGATGTGGAACCCAAAGAGGAACTAGATGAAGCAACAGACCTTGGCTAATGATCACTCACTGATTCTGGAGATGAAACATCTGAAGGAGAGACTGTCAGGACCTTTCTGTAAATGTCACTAGAAGCAAGAATAAAGCTAGGATTTTACTTGAGAAGATCTGTCTAGCTGAATTATTAGTTAATTGTTATGTTCCACCCTGACTTAAGATTTCAGGAGGCAGCGTGTTGCCAGATTCTGGTGCTTCTGGTGCTTACCTGAAACAAAAAGCAACAAACAAAAAATAAAACCCTAGGTTTTAATCATCCTACCAGCTCTTCAGCTTGGGAGCCCATTCCTGGTTGTGAGTGGGCGAAAGAATAGTCCTCTGTCACCTGTTTTGGCAGCTGTGAAAAAAAGGCCCTAGGTAGTCCTTGGATGATATAACACCATGAGAGCCTGGGCTATTTAACTTTATGCAATAGTAAAATGATATTACACAGTGGACAACAGTTGCTGGCAACTTTATCCATCTTCAGTTGCACCATGCTGGTTTGGATGATCATTGTTTTCAGATGTGTACAGTTTTGTTAAAGTTTAATGATGGTCTCATGATCATTGACAAAAGAAAATACAGCCACATTCTTTTTGTGTGTGTAAGAGACTTTCTTGATTTGGTGAAAATGTGGCATTATGAGCGTTCATCTGATTGATATACCATGTTTACATGCATACCCCACACCTTTCCTCCCAAAACGAGCCCTCCAAAAGCAGGGTGTTTGGCTTAAGCAGGACTGCTGATTTTTCTTTACTGGATGCATGCAGATGCTGTGCTTTAATGGCTGATTCCTTTCTGACCCAATGAGCAGAAAGGGCAGAGTTCATTGTTAAAACCTCTCTGAGCTTCTATGGAATTTGCTGTAGCTAATGACTGAGCATTATAGCTTGTGCCTGAAGCAGCAGTTAAGCTGCTTTAGGGTGAGCTGCTGCACACAGTTTGTAGTCGTTTGATGAGGCTTGCAGTCTGCAAACAATACTTTATTTACATGGCCTTACATTCCTGTTTGTGCTGTTTGCTGCAGATACTAATGTGCCTTAGTCACGATCATCTGGCCCCCTAGGCTTGGGACAGAACCCTGTTTTTGACCAAGATAAACTGCTGCACCAATTTAATCCTGGCAGAGCAATTTAACTTGCATTAATAAACTTCCTGGTGAAGTTAAATTAATACAGCAGTGCTGAAACCAAAAGAAGTGTATTCAGATATCAGTTTATGTGGATTTGATAAATCCCTTTTAAACTAATTTAACTTAAAACCAGTGAAGTTTCTTTGTTTTTAAAACTTTTGTTGTACTTTCAAGGACAGGAGTAGAATTTCCACAAGAAAGTCATTCTATATTTTTCCCAGTGGGGTGAATAAAAGCAGTAAGACTTATTCTTCCCAGAAGGCCATGTGAAAAGCAGATATATTTATCTGTTAACATGCCAAAGGTGGACTCTCTTGTTCACCCTTGTAGACATTTACAAATAACAATTTATTTTCATATCAAGTTTCTCATTTGTTAGTGAAGGTTTCCTGAAACCACCATTTCTTTTGCTAGCATTTAGACTTCATGTTCTTCCTTAGGTTACTGCGTGGGTAGATGAAAGGAAAGTTCTCCAGATAATGAGGGAAGCATTTTAATGCTCACACACAAAAAATACTATGAAACAGCAGTATATCTGCTAAGCTATCTGTCCCTGTGTGTATCCAATTCATACTGACCAATACAAATTTGTATTTGTTCAAGTAAAAGAAAGAGATTTTATTTGAGTTTGCACATCAGTTTATCAGGTAAATTTTCACTTCAAAGCTGAAGGATGATGATGGAAGAGGGGGCAGACAGGAAACATTTCAGCTTGATTTTAAAATTCCAAGGTTGAGATTTCTGGGAGGGGTATTCCTTGGATTTGAGATTGGGATCTTTTGAGAGAGAAGAAATGAATATGGAATCCAATAATGTCATTGTTACAGTTATCTTTCTAACAAGTTCTGCATCTTGAAACCTGGAGGAAGAGGAATGCCCTGAGGAGGCTCTAATGTCCTGGCAAAATTACACTGCATTTTAAAAAGAAATCTGCACAATAGTTGCCATTAACAATTCAATCTTGCCTTTTTCTGATATTACCACAGGAGTTCTATGCTCAGTATCAGGAATATCATGAACTTGTTGCTTGTTTAGCATCAGCGATTGCAGTCATTGTAAAGTTAGCCATTGTATACTGCAGCTTTGCATTTGTAATTGTTGGTATCTGAGAATAATAGATGTGTTCTTTCACTCTAAACTGTCTGTTTTACCCCTACACGTCTTTGATTTTGATTATGTTTCTTAAGTACTTGTTTTTAATGCTAAGTAACCATTCAGTTGTGAATTTTACAAACTGTTTTAACTAGGGTGACTCAAAAAAAGTTAGTGTGCAAAATATCACACAACGTGTAACGCTTGAAAATAGTGTATCATGCTAAATAACATATAAAAAATCATCTTTCTTTCCTTTGTATACTAGGAATGATATCTGCATATTTTACTACTAACTGAGGTGCATTTTACTTTGGCTGGTCTTGAAGAACTGACATGGTTCTATGAAAACTTAGTGAGAGTTAGAAAAATCAGGCTTTTTTTTTAATTCAAATAATTTGGATTCATAATTGTATAATCTCTCTTCATGTAAGACAAAACAGATGTAAGATGGCAGTTGAGAGAATCAATCATCACAAGGGAAGTTTGTATATCAGTTACAATGGAACTTATCCTTTGTTATATCTCTATAAAGGCAGGAACAAAGCAAAAATGTCAGAGCTAGTACGACATTGTCTATGAATGATACACTGGCTTGGCCCTTGCTTTCTCATGGTCTTCTAAAGACAAAGTCATAAAGAAAGGAGAGAGGAACCCTCACATGGAAGAACAAACAGGTATTAAGAGGCGTCTTCATGGTTCACTAGTATCTTAACTCTTAAGAGCTGTAGCTTCAGTCCTGATCAGTGAAGTTGGACCACTGATAACTTGGGGACAACAAAGACACCTGTTCCTCATCCTGGCTATGAGTGTCTAATCATTTCCTTTCTTGGTGTTCTACACAAAGAGGAAATTAAACATCACATCAACTACTTGAGAGAAAAAAGAATAAAAAAGTATTCAGGAGAGTGGCATCTGAGGCTTTTGAGGTAGGGAGCTGGGTGATGTGAACTCTTACTGCAGGTTATACAGACACAGGACTTACTGTTTCCTCTTTCTAATTACCAAAAGTATGACTAAGGCAAAACTATTTGGGCAAGCTGAGATCTTTTATTGGACCAACTGCATGGTTGGGAGATATTTTAGACAAGCTTTTGAACACAGTGTTCTTTCTCAAGTCCGTTTTTGCTTGAAAGCTTGTCTAAATCTCTTCCAACCATGCAGTTGGTTCAATAAAAGTTATCACTAACTCCCCCACCCCCCAATATCCTTGTCTCTTGCACATTTCTTGAACTATCATGACTACATGTCTCCAGCACTACCACAAAACTATAACTTTATCTTTTGCCGTTCACAATCTTCTTCAAAATCAAAAATTGAAAGGTAGATATTACCCAGGGAGTTGCTGGTTATTCAGTTATGCCTCTCCTACAAGGAAAATATGTTACAGGGACCAAATTTTATACTCAAACCCAGAAAAATTAAGTGTAATCATAAGAATATGAAAGATACCCTATGTGTTCATGAGCATCTTTTAACTTTGAGAAAGTGTTCTGCAGTGTGATTATTTTCAAGTGCCTTTTTCTATGTCTGATTTAATAGAGTGTTGTTGCCCTACACAGATGCAATGAAAAGTCAAAGCAAATCTGTAGAGTGCTTCCAGTTAAACCTTAAGATGAGCCTAAATCTCAGACCTTAGAATCCATGCTGTAGTTTGTCCTGTCCAGCTCACAGCAGCGGGCACAGTATCATCCTCTTATTCACGTGGAAGAGGATTTCTTAGCTGGATCTTCTGTACTTTGCAAAGCCACACTCATGAGAACTCCCTCCTAGAAAATACATTTTGATTAAACCAGGCTCAGCATCTTCATTATCTCCTGTCAAGGACTTGTCGATTTTTTTTTTTTTCTTCTGAAAACTGCCATCTCAGTTACAATCACTTCAGTCTAATCAGGGCATAGCAGTACTTCACCTCTCATTAGGGCAAAATCGTGTTATGAGTTTGCACAGCCTTTGTTCCCAAAATAAACCTGTTTCAAGAAATTGTTTTGCTCTCCAACTTTTCCACCTCCATTCATAATAACTGTACAAAAATATATCACACACAACCGTCACATACTCATGATGTTGGGAGAGAGTTACAAATCAATTTTCAATGCAGTGTCAGTTGAGAAGAGCGCTGACTGATCTGCAACCTCCATCATACATAAAAATACTGCTATGGTTTAAGTTTTTTTTGTTTTGTTTTGTTTTTAGAAGATTAAACTGGTATATTTCAGAAACTAAAATATAGCCTTTTTTTCTTGACAAATATTTAAAAATTTACACTCATTCATTTAGCTCCAAGGATCCTCCAGACTTCAGGTTCACATCCAACATATACAATAAGAAATGGCGAGATCCAGCTGGTCACAGACGTTTTTCTCACATCAGTTACATTTTACAAATTAAACGTGCAGTTCTCTTAAGACACTGCCGTTGGAAGAGGGGACCTGTGTAGCATGTTCATCCAATAACTGATATATTAGGAAAGCAACTCACAGATGGAATTGACACAAACTTTATTTCTTTCCTTCCTTATTCATCTTTTAGTTCCCTTTCTGGAGAGACAATAATATCAGACGTCGTATACTAAGAAACTTGAAAACTTTCCTGGACGAACAGTTGGCAAATGTACTTTATCTGAAAAATTCCTTTCTTCTAGTAGTAAAGTCTGTAGAGCGAGTCCATTGAGCCTAGGGATTATAGTTCTGCAGATGACATAACTTCTTCTCTTTTCTCTTTGGACACCAGTGATTGTCCAGTAATGGAGTATAACATTTGCATTGCTTTGTAACAATGACCATTTACATAACTACCTTGAGATATCTAATGAGGTTGTTTGTTGGTCTAAGGACATAGGTGAAAAAGGTTCTTTGGGTAGATATAATATCTTTTATTAGACCAACTAAATAGTTGTAAAAATTGTTCTTTGCAAGCTTTTGGGCACAGATGCCCTTCTTGAGGTATCTGATAAATTTTGAATTCAAGCTTAAAGTTATAAGCTGTACCAAGTAGCTATGGAAGTATTTGCAACTGGCTGACTTGGTTTGTTGAAAAACAGGGGTTTTACTTCACAGCCCAGCTTGAGCTTTTTTCTAAGTAACTGCAAGCATCTGACCCATCATTATGGATCTGTGGAATTCCTGGTAGAAGAAAGGAATTTTTCTGGTAAACTGAGACATTTTCCTAATACAGGTCTTGCACTGCTATTTTAAGCTTTTTCTTGGTGTACTTTAAGCTATTTTCTGGTGTAGTTCAGATACTGGCCAATTTTCTATAGTAAATAAAAAGTAGGTAGTAATTTTGTAACTGGTTTCCTGTTAAACATGAACACGATATTATTTTTTTAGATTATTTTTACTTATACATCTGGGCCAAAATAGTGATCATTCCTTGCTCTAGAAACACAGGCTTATTCAGCTGGAGGATGAAGCAAGTAAGTGTTCTGTTAATTTATCATCTTTGTTATATATTCTATCAGCTTTTGATTTATGGCAAATGAAGAGGAAGCAGAATGTTCATTCAAAATGGTAAGGTTGTCATTTTTCCCTCTGAAACAACCCATGTGTGCGGGCCAGGAGCGACCCGAGCCCTTTTCGCGCTGCACGCGGGCTGTGGCCAGCAGCCCGGGCACGCCGGGGCGGGGAGGGAAGGCCTTCGAGCTGGAATTAGGCACAGACACGTATCGGTAGTTTTAAAAGATTGTTTACTTACACCGAGATGGCAGTGGTGTAGGCTGGAAAGCTTGCTTAAGTTGCGGTTACAGAGAGAAAAGAAAACAAAACTCGAACCTGCAGGGCACGAGGGTACGTCGCATAGGGTTCCGGCGACGGGAAGATGAAAATACGAGGGTACGTCGCAAAGGGTTTTGGCGACGGGAAAGTAAACCTGCAGGACTCGAACCTGGGTAGAAGAGCTCTGGAGTCGTCCGGCAAGGACTCTCATGAAGTTTGCTAGGCTCCGTGGGTCCTTCTGCTACACGAAGTTTGCTAGGCTCCGTGGGTCCGGTTCGTTGCGCGCGGGAGGGGATACGTCTAGGAATCTATCGACGACGGGGAGAGGCTAGAGGTTGATCAGACCTCTGTTGCCTGCTTGAAATGCGCTGGGTCTGTAAGGATCCGCAGCGCTTAGAGATCTTCACACAGCGTGAAGTCTCCTCCTCCCTTGTTTGTGGAGTCCTCCAACTTGGGCGGAAACCACTCAAGCCTCTTATACGGCTAGCAAGCCAATCACTAGCCGCCACGTGAATAATTTCGAACTGGCCAATAATGGGACTCGAATTAACATACAAATGGCGGGAACTCTTTGCAATGAGCATTTCTGTGCTGCAACAAGAAATGCACCCTGCAAAGAAAGCTTCAAATTGGCGGGAAATTCTCCCTTGCACCGGGGTTCTCTTTTGCAGCAGAAAACTCCACCGTGCAAAGAAGCTGCAATTTAGCAGGGACAATTTAGCAGTGCCGAAGCACACAAAAACAAAAATCACACCCTTTGGGTTGTGACACCATGTAAATAACTGATTTAATAACCTAATTCTTATACATATGCTGTGTAATAAAGTTTGCCTCTATTTTGTAATTTCAGAAACAAAAGCAGCAAAGCCTCAAGGCAAGACTGCACTTGCAAACATTTCTCCACAAATTCTTGTCAGCTTTCTCTTAGCTTGTGGCAGATGTTACTTAAAATTTTTCAGGTCCCATAGTGGGATTAATCCCAGATCGCAAAAATCGGGCATCCTGACATGCCAGACTTTCAAGGTATGGTAAAATATAACATGCAATTGTTGGGATCCAGGCGCACATATGCTGGGGTGTGGGCTGCTGGGGATCAGGGAGCTCCCTATGCTATGAACCTTTCAACCCAGCATCAAGCTGCAGTATGGTTTTAAATGTCCCCAGGTGGGAGGACACATTCAAATTAAAGTGCAATATAAACCAGGCACAATGTTCCACATTCTTCACTTACCATTTTTGTGGCTGGTTTGCCATTTTACAATTTATTGCACAATTAACATGTTCATTGTGTGATAAATATAACATAATCCAGGGTCCACAGCATGATTTATTCCCAGCAGGAGGGCTGCTTTCCTCAGGTTTCCTTTTAAGTAATTTTCTTGCATCTGGGGCCTCTGACAGACATTACACTTAAGGCATGATTAAGTAGTGAGCTGGCCACGTATTCATTCAATTAATGGTGTAATAAAATGATGAATAAGCTGTTAAGTTGTTACACATATTTTGTGTAATACTTTTGTGACTTCCTTTCACACCTTTGATTGCTATGCAGCTGGTCATGAATTCAGTTAAAGTGCTGCTTATGACAAACATTCAGGTAGCCAACTAAAGGGTAAGAATAATTTTATTACCCCCTTGGAAGCCTTATTGTCTCCACTGTAGGAATGGGGAAACATTTACACATCTCTGGAAAGTGATCCTATTCCTGTATCTTTAGCTGGGTAATTGAGAGTTGGTTGCAAACTGCCCCTTGGTCCTCACAAGGTGAAATAGAAGTCTGCCCTGAATCTTAAAAAACTCTGCATGCCTGCATGTGTTGTAAGTTGGTTTCTTACATTCAGTTTAAATCTCTTGCATAAAATAAAAAGGACTAGGTGTAAGAATCTCCTACTTAAAATAAATCTTCAAGTAAGTATAGCAATGTAAATTAATATGCCCTATAAAAGCACTTATTTTTAAAAATATGATATACATTTTTGTTACTGGTAAGGTCGGGCAAGTAGGTCTTGTACTTAAGTTGATGTTTACTTGCCAGTTAGTGAGGCAAGTTTATATACGTCCTACTGTGTCTCATTCTTCTTTCAAGTAAGTTAGTAAACTTTTGGTCTTGAAGGCTGTGGATGCACTTTTCACTGTGAGCCTCCCTATCCCAACACTCCAGATGTTGGGAGATAATACCAGGCCGCCATGTTTCAAAGACAGTATCTAGATTATAACTGGACATATTTTTTAGCAGTTTCTGTAGCATGAAGACTAGGATAAGCCTTTTTAAAGTGCCTTTTTAAACTTATCCTAAAGTTTTATCAACCTCACAACCTAGGAAAATGGAAAGGTCAGGTAGATGGAGTCTTCCCAGTACATTCAGTTATAATTATGCTTTGCTTGGAATTCCAACTATTGAGAAAAACAGCATGAAAATATGTTTTGCTTGACAGCTGATTTGAAGTTGCTTTGGTTGGTCAAATGTGCAAAATCTGTGTTTACAATAAAATAGTTTGTTTTCCTTTGGAAACATAAGAATGATTGAATCACCACATAGTGTGATACTTACCAAGTAAACACAGAATGCTACAGTGCTTTGGGGTCACTTGTTTAATACAAATACAAATTTGTTCCACAACAGTTAGCAGTTCTAGTAATTTTTGTTCCCCTTACCTTCTGTCTTTCAGGACACACATTCACCCAAAAATTCATCTTTTTTATTTTGCAAAAGAGAAGAGGATAAAACAAACAACACAAACTTGATCCAATATTACACACAGTAAAATATTTCCATCCCATATTACATTTCACTGTAATGCTTAGAATTAGAAAGAGCTAGTCCTGGTGATAGGAAACTTACTTTCTGCAGGCCAGAAAAATAAATACTGCCTTTTAAGCATAGCAATATATGACATGGCATCATTGGATTTCTTAAGAAGCTTCATAATGCTAGCATAAAAATAAATGGTTCAGTGTTGCTACCAATTTTTAAATCAATCATTGAATAATTCATTCCTGTAATGGCAACATTTTAAGAAACCAGTAAAGAGGATGTACATGTTTAACACAGAACAGAAGCATCTTGTTGATATTCCAAAATTGCTCATTAGTATAGTAGTTCTGCAGCCTTTGTTAAATCATAACTTTCACCCAAATTAATTAGGAGTGTTGCTCAAGCCAGGAGGCAGAACTTCGTTCCAAATTAATGCAGTTTAATGGAACTAAGTATATCTAGGAAAGGGCAGGTCATGGTGGGTATCTGTCCCAGGGTTTGTTCCTGTAATTCTTAACCATGCCAAGATGAAGTTTTACCTGATTTGGGTACTTACTGCTGTCCACTGTGGAAAGACTATTTATGTCTGTGTCAGTGTTCCCTGATCTTTAACTTCTACTTGCAATACCATTACTTCATGTCATTAAAAAAGGGGAAAAAAAGTACTAGACTTCTATTTTTCCAAAAAAAAAAATGTGTTCTTTTTGTGTTATAGAAGCCTCTGGTAAACTAAAGTAATTGGATTAATACAGACCATTAAATTCCATAAATGACAAAGAATTGAATGAGGTATTGCCTACCATGCATATTTTTTTCTTGGAGGCAAGACTTATCATACAGTGCAAATGTGTCTTTCTGCCTACCACTAAGTCTTCACAAGCTATCACAAATCAACCTCCTTTGAGAGAGGACAAGGAGAAAAAACATTTACAATAACATTCTAAGGCAGTGGTGCCCAACCATCTTGCCCTGCAGGCCAAATGGGCAGTGCCAGGTCCCTCTGTGGGTTGCATCCAGCCAATTGGCCCCATTCCGGCTGCAGAGGTTCTGCAGCATGACCTCGATCCATCTGGCAAGGGTGGGGGTGAAGTGGTCCTGATCTGGACATGGGGGGGCGGGCAGGGCAGGGCAGCCCCAATCCTGATGTATCAGGGGGTAGGGAAACAGAGCGGCCCCAATCTGGACACGCGGGGAAGAGGTGGGCAGCACCGATGTGTATGCTGGGTGGAAGGGTGGGATGGAATTGCCCTGATCAGGGCATGGGAGGGTTGGAAGGGGAGAAGTATGGACCAATCTGGACGTTCAGGGATAGGGCCTGGCCCTGATACTCCTTTGTTTCAATGGCCTAAGTAAGGCTGGAGCCAGCCTCGCAGAGCATCCCCTGCTGCAAAGTTTTCTGATCCATGGAATCCCTATGACTCATATTTGTCCCGTGAGCCCAAGTTGAGCACCCCTATTCTAAGGAATCAAAGCCCTTATTTAAGCCCAACTATAGTCGATGTTAATTTTACTCTAATGGTCTTTTGGTCTAACTAAATGTTACATTTTCCCTCTTCATCCCATTGTTCAGATATATATTTCATTGAGGGTAGTTTTTGTTAAAGATTTTTTCCCTTTGCAATGTTTAAACTTTAACTAAGCTTCAAATGCACGTCAGCAAAGCTGTTGCCACGTGGGGGAGGGAGAAGTCTTGGTATGGTCTTGTAAATAGCATGACTTCAGGGCATAAATATTTCCATGGTTCTAAGACATGACTACAAACCAAGGAACAAATAGGCTAAAGAGGGAAAAATCATGTGCTTGAATACAAGAAGTAATGGCATCTTGTGCTGGGATTCTAGATTTAAGCATCTTGCATGAAACAGGGTTTGGGGGTTTAAAATTATAAAATGTAGTTTAATTCCAAAAATATCTGATAATAATTACCTTGGGAACACAAATTTTAGAACAATCAATTATGTAGTCCCCATTAATAAATATTTAAAGAATAAACCAGTTTCCTCCTGGCTGTTATTTACTTTAAGGTTATTATTCCAAACTTAAAGTGTAAAAACATAACAGAATGAAATGTTCTAAAAGTGCCTTTATACCTTTGCAGTTTAATATGAAACTGTATCCTGTCCAAACTTCATTGAAATAAAGGAGAAAATTAGCACACCAATATCAGTACAACAGACATTTGTCTTCTACCTCTTCGAAAGAATGTGTTTGTTCTTTCCATCCCCCTCCCCAGGTCAATTTCCTAAATACAAGCTCAAAAGGAGCCCTAGCTGCTATCAAGTGTTGTCCCAGACTTACCCAAACCAATGCACACGTATTTCTCACCAGCTTGCCTCTCCTGTCCCAGTAATAAACACCACAGAGATTGGAAGTAAATCACAAAAGTCTTCTCTTTATATAACTCACTCTGTTGGACACATTATTATATCTACATTCATTTATCTATTGCACCTGTTAATGTTATTCACACTTCACTTAACATGAGAATGCTCAAAACACAAAAGTAACAACTGAACTGTTGAATTGCTAATAGCTCAGTCTTACCCATATAAAAGAATCCACTGATAACTTTTTCAACCAAATCAGAGCAAGGAGATACCAGCATCATTTTAAGACTAGGTATGCTTGCTTGTGACTACCTTAATTGCTGTATCACAAACTCTAAAAAATAAAGCCTTATGTTTAAAATTCCCATTACTTCCCTCTATCTCCCCAAGTCTTCAGACATATAATTCAATGTCAAGTTCTTTTGGAGTGGATTGCATGCTTCCACCTGTAATACTTATGTTTATGCTTAATCTTTTACCATTTTGGAACAAAGCTTTCTATATCCAGTATGCTTATATAACAGAGAATTCATGTTTCTTTTACTTAGTTTTTAAAGTACTGCAACAGAGGTCCTGTTCCAGACATTTATCTAATAATTTTCTGAAGCCTTCTGGCTAAATAACTTCTGTATTTTATGGAACCAAGGAAAGGGTTGAGACAATTAGAGAACTCAAAGTCTGACTGTTGAATATTTTTGCAAAAATGTGAATGTATATTCAAATGGATCAATACTACCCTTCAGCTATCCTCAACTCATACAACTACCAAAACATTCAGGCACCCAATATAGCACACAAGCATGTAACTTCTTGAGGCTTAGAGGAGTGCCATGGTGTAGGTCTGTTTAACTTTGTTGATTGAGGGTTTACATGAGTGACCTTAATGGTATTACTTTGAAGTGTATTTTAAGAAGATAATTAGCAAATAAGACCCTTAGTAGTAATAAACAGGTGGAAAGGGTTTGTTTGTTTTTCCCTGTAAACAGAACAACAATAGCAGGTCTTTCCAATATCTTCCTGGCCATCCAGTTTAAAAAGGTCAACTTGTCATGTCTGTTTGGCATTGTCTGTTAACTGTTGTCTATTGCACTTTCTACGCTTCCACTGTCACTACCTGGCTGACTAGTTGAGAAACTACTTCACAAAATGGTCACGTTCCATAAAGTAACACATGTTGCTTCGCTGGATCCTTTTTTCCTGGGTAGGGTTTGTGTTGTTTTACTTGGTATGCATGATCATCTCTGCTTTCTTTAGCGGCTGTGGTGTAGAAAACACTCACACTTTATTCTTCAAGTGAAGAAAGACTGCCACCTCTGTCAAACTGGCATGACCTCAGAAGTCATTTCTTCAGCTGATGGCTGTGAGTTTGTACCTGTCTGTGATACTGGCACTACCACAGCATCCTTGATTTCAGAGTTCTGAATGCATGAAGAATTCTTCTCCTCCAGTTTTTTAGCAGTGTCTGGGCAGTTTTGAACAAAAATCACTCTATTGTAAGCCTTCAACCTGCGCCACAATTGAACGTAGACTTTACACTGTACGTACATGAAGACTAGGCCTCCAGTGAACCCAATGGCCACCACAACCAGTTTTGTCCAAAATGGCCATTCAAGGACACCTTTCAAAGAAACAAGTTAAGGTTAGTATCATAATCATCACCTTATTTGGTCATTCTGCGTAGTTCCTTTCCTAGATGCCATGTATGCCTATTTCTAAATTATATTCATAGAACAAAATTAAGTGGCTTCCTTTCTAAAGAATTCCAAATACTTTAAATGCTGTGCATATACAGAGACACAAGTGTTGTTGCTATTGTACTAAAGATTAACTGCTGTTTAAAAGAGCACAGGAGCCATCCTGGTAGGCAAAGAAACAAGACCAGACCTTCACTGGTGCAGTTTTATATATCAGGAATGTAAAATTACTTCCTGGGACAGAAACGTGTGCTTTTATTGTGCTTCTTGTTCCTGTCCCTTGGTTAGAACCCATCACTATAGTCTGTAGGTTTAAGTGGGTAGAATGTAATTATCCGAACTGGAATGGCATGATCCCTGACCTATGCCACACTACTGCTATAAAAAGTGACACAGGATCGCTTTTTGTGCCTTTTCTATTAGAAGATACATGCCCTATTTTATACTTAATATAGCCATAACCTATTATACTATAGTATTTTTCCATTGTGATGGAGCCTTGGTTTGGAGCAAGAAGAAGAATCCCACCTCCTGCTAACCAGCATCATCCATTTTCTGATTGGCCTTTCTTTTCTGTTTCTCTGTGTGCATTTCTCTGTTTTCCTCATTAGTTGCATAGACATCCTAAAGTTTCTAGTACATCTTGTTTCACTCTTTGTTATTGGTTATTAAAGGAGGGGATAAAAGGAAACTGTTGCAACTCTTTAAAGGTCTTTCTATAATTGCAGAAAAATCTCCATTGGCATTGCCACTGAGAAGCCACATAACAGTGGGCCTAAGTTAGGTGATATTCTGAGCAATACTAAGATGATTCACTTTTACCTAAAACTAGTCTTATGATTTTACAAAATCAGAGAATACCATACTGGGAACAGTCTTCTAATCACAAGATAATTAACATCATTGCAGCTGCTGCTTCAAACATTGAGCACTCTAACTAAAAAAGGGAAGAAAAGAAACTCAGTTGTGCATTGCCTCATCCGACTAATGATGACAGCGTTGGCACTGATACAGAATATGCTGGCCTTCAGTGTTTTGGACTGTTTAAGCCTTTGTATCAACATTTCTTCCTAGATATTTTAACCTTTTACCACCACATACATTTATTAGTAATATTTAGGAGAACTTTAAATAAATAATCCATAGCACACAGAATGCCATTAATGGTCCAGGCATCTTAAAAACATAATTAAGATCAGCAATAAAACTGTAAGGTAGATGGGTATTATCCAAGTTTTCCACAGGGGAAACCTGAGTCAGGAGTAGAAATACCTGCTTGAGACCATTTAGGAGCCAACAGAGGGCACTGCTCCAAGAAGGAATAGTGGCAGCAGGTTGAGAACCCAGGGCTTCTCAATTGCCTGTTTTACATCGTTCACTACTAGAGAAGTAATTTGAGATTACCCACTGCTTTACCACAAAGAACAGATACTTTGATCTTCAGGTTTTTCCTCTGCCTTTTCTCCTCCCCCCCCCTTTCACTTTTTAGGTATCTTCTCCCCCCCCAGTATATGAGGAGAGGGATTGCAAAAAAATTCTCATTTCACCTAGTGTTTTTTCAGTGAAACTAACATTTGAAAAAAGCTGCTAATGACCATTTCACTTTCCTTGTTACCTTGGTAGCACCAGAGTGTCTTTGTGTTCTGTTAAGGTGGCAATATCAACCATTCAGCCATGTTTCAAGAACACTGTGGAAATATGCCTGAACTACTGAGATTAGGTAACATGACTACAGATATACCCTATGTCAAAGCAAATATTCATCCCAGACACTTTTGCTGAGTAGTTAAGCTTGCCTAAAGTCAGCTTAACCAAGGGAGTGCACATAGTTATCTTAATGGATAGTATTTACCTGTAAATAAAGTATCAAGCCTTTTTCCTAGGGTAAATCTCACAATGAAAACCAAAGGTGTATTATTTAAAAGAGAAACATGATATTAGGACTTGGCCTTACAGAATCATCTTGGGGATCTTGATCTTATATAAATAGAATTTGCTCATAAAACAAGAGTTGGGCAGGCAGCAACAGCATCAAATATTGATGTTCAACTAGCAGTACACAAAGCTGATTTTTGTTTTTTCATGTAAAGTTTACAACAGAACACAAGGGACTCTGCTGTGCTATTCTTTATGTCAGTTCACATCAGAGACAGAAAAGCTGCTCCCCACATACTCGTCTGATTTTTAAATTCTTTAAGTAGTCAAGAGCGACTTGATGTGGATTTGTTTTGCTTAGAAGCCTTTTCATGCACAGGCATGTGGTTTTCAAATGATTTCCAGCACTGCATGCTATCTATGTTACACACACATATAATATTAATGTAGTACTCTACTAAGTAATAGTCCTGATCAAAAGAGGAAGAATGATTGTTATATACCTCTTTTTAACAGAGTAATTCATATACTATGCAAAGGTTTTCTTTTCTTTCTGTAAACAAACTAGAATTGCTGTTGGTCTCACCTGTAAGATTAAATATGACACCTAATTTTACCAGGCCCTGGAGTATATACTTCAAATGGCAACAGAAACCATCTTTTAATATTAGGTGGCTGGCACGTACGTTTCTGGCCAGTAAATCAGTGTTTTTAATTTTATCGTGAAATAAAGAACAGGCCTGATTCTGAAGGGATGTGTGGCAGTTGTCCTTTGTAGGTGGTGGCTAAAGATAAGAAAATTATTGTTGGTTAGAGCGTGGTGCTTAATAACACCAAAGCTGCAGATTCAATCCTTTGGACTTGATGATCTCTTGAGGTCCCTTCCTGCCTTACTTCTCTGTGATAATGTGTGGATCCAATTCTGCCTTTGAATGTGCTGGCTTATTTCCCTGGTGACTTGAAGAACAGCTGATGGGCATATCTATGGCTGGGATTTGTTCTTGCATGATAGAGTTACTTCAATGGAGTCTTACAAAGCATAGCATTTACAGCTTTACTGAAGTACAGTAGTTCAAACATGTTGAAAATACCTGCTCAGTTCATTAACCTATAGTCTGCTGTAAATGGTGGGCCAATCCCGCATTCATTACCCCAAACACTCCTGAGCAAGATGAGACTGGAATTCTGACTCTCTCATCTGGCAAGGGAGAATCATACTATTATAACCATCACCACCAAAGTTCTTTAAGACTGTAAATGTTTTAGTAACTTCTCCTTTGTCCTTAGAGACTAACTGGTTCAGAAAGGCATTTAGTCTCTAAGATGCCACCATGCCCTGCCCTGTGCCTGACTTCAGACTAGCACAGCTATTTACCTCTTTCCACTCACATGTCCAAAATTTTTGCATTTCTGGGTTTCTACTGGACACTGAACTGAAATGCCACAGTAAAGACTGTTTTCATAGAAAAAATGTAGCTATGTATGAAGAATGCAGGAAAGGGCCTTGGTACCAATTATTTTACAAATTAGGGGCTAATAATTTCACCCATAGTGTTTCCAGTTGGGACCAGAAAAGATCATTTGTTGGAAATCCTCATTATAAAGCCTGTTGCATGTGTCCTACCCTAGTTTTGCAGAACAGACAAGCTCTATTAAGTCACATAAAACACACCTAAGACTTTTGGATGATTTTGTGAAGTTCAGCTGAACCTTTGGTTTTCATTTGCCACTTTTTTATTTCAGCATGAAAACCCCTCTGCTATGGAGTAAAAAATAAGAATAAACAACATGTTTTAGCTGTTCTGACAGATGCACTGGGCTGTGAGCTCTTTTCTTATTGCAGTCAAGGAGCAAAATAAATTCAGCTAAATTCTGGCTTTTAATACTGAATGATGTGCCCTTTAATTTTTCCATAAAGTAGATGTGCAAGCATTTTAGCAATGGGATATATATTTACAAACAATGACTGTCCCGTTAACTATCTTCTTTTGTAATTAGTCTATTACTGTACTAGCAAAGTGGCAGAAAAAGTAACTTACCATTGTCATTGCCTTGCTTAATTTCCTCAGCTGTCCGATCTATTAAAACATACAATGACCAAACAACGCAGGTAATAGCAATAATGTGGAATGTGACAGAACAGACTATCTTCCTCCTCTCACTTGTTGTCATCTGTAGTTTCTCCCACTATAATTAGAAAAGAATTAAATATAGAACAGACTTATAAACATGTCTTGAGAAAACATCCCATGCCATTTTGGCTGTTCCTATCTGAAGCAAACAATCAGAAAAACTAGTTACAGAATCTCATTGTTTTGCTAATAGTATAGATCCCAAGGACAGCATTATCTGTGCCACAAATATAGACAAGACATAAAGTACAAATCTTTGTAGATTCATAAGAATGTAGGATCTAGTAGTTTTCTCATCTGTGAATTTTCTTACCATCAAAATACGGAGGGGCTTAGGGAGGCTGAGCCCCCCATACAAGCCAAGAGTCCCCCAAAAGTCCCCCCATAAGAGATGAGCGCCCCCAGCCCTCCCTGCGTCTTTCTAAGCAGCTCAAGCGGCAGTGGCTCTTTACAGCTTCCACCACCATAGACCCCCACAGAGTGCAAGCGTAATTCAGACCCTGCTTACCATCAACCTGAATAATACTTAATTTCTCTTCCCTTGTAGTAGTGCTCTACTGCTATGTATAGGCAAGTCTGCATCTAGTATACAATTTTAAAGCTCTGGAAGAATATGCAAGTCATTTGCTCCAAAACTCAAACATTCTTGGATACTTAAAACCTGAGGAATAAGATTTCAGAACAGCCACTCACTAGGAGTATTAGGGGCAAGAAAATGGGTATAAAGATGGAGTTGGATAAATTTATGACAGGGATTACACAAAATGATTGCCTGTGAAGTAAAGAACTGAAATTCCTGTTCCAAGAGGGATGGACGTTTGAGCTCATTGTTTCTCACTGCAGTCATTATGGTCTCTGTTTAGGCTGTGACAAGATTTTAGTAACAAAGAAGCCAAAGTCTCTCCACAGTTGAATGAATGTACTTCAGGAGGCTGCAATCTACAATGTTTTGTCTTTTTTTTTTATCACAGGTCCTTCTCTAAAACTCAACAAACTCCATGAAAAATGCATGCTTGTTAAACAGACAAAAGGAAAAGACAATGAAAAACAAAATGTTTCTAATGTGGATGACTAGTTTTACAGTCTATAGACAGCACCCAGTAAAATAAGTGAGATACAAAACACAACAGTGCCACCTTTCTGACGATCACATTACTGCATGTATGAACTGTACAGATAATGAGACAACTTTACAGTTTATTTTGCACATTTTTCCCATAGGGTTTCTAAGCAATGGCACACACTAGAGGGTGAGCTCAACTCCACAAGCTGGGTGCACTGAGGCATGCAGTACGGCTGAAAGAATAAAAACCAACAAAATGTAATTTAAAGACTCAACCTTTTCTCTCTCACATATGCACTGAAGTTCATGCAGGGAGGCACCTGGTACAGGACACAGGGAGGCACTTGGTGTAGTATTTAATCCCATCTTGGGACATGCACACAATGCTTGTTGGGGCTCTTTGTTGGCTAGTCAGGTTTTTCAATTTGGAATCACAGAAAACTAGGGCTAGAAGTCACCTTGTCCAAACCTCTGCAAAAGCCAGGATCGTCCCTGTCTAAACAAGGCCAGATAAATGCTTATCCTGCCTGAATTTAAAAACGTCTGATGATGGAGCTTCCTACATGGTACTACAGCTTCAGTAAAAATGAAGCTTTCTTTTCCAGGTGAAGCACTTCTGAATATGTAAACAAAAATGCTGCTGCAGAAGGGGGGCTGTCTATCTAGAGAAGAAATTGGGCCTGAAGACTGGCCATGCTAGTCTTAAACCCACAGCTTTTTATGTGATTACACCAGTTTGATGTATGAAAACAAGAAATACAAGCTTTAAAAACCAGCAGAGGTGGAAGGACAGCAAGGAATGGTATGAGAAGGTAACAGAAGAAACTCCATGTCTTTCATATTAGAGGCATATGTCTCTAATCTGAGACATTATATTAGAGACAATATGTTAGACACAGTTTATGTTGGTTAAAAAATAGGTATTCAAACAACATCTAGTTTAAATTACAAAAATCGATTTACCACAGAAAACAGTTTATCTTCAGTTTCTTTTCTGCAGCAGGTCTGTTAAGATGTTATTAGTTCTCAAGTTACTTAAGCTAATATTTAAGGATAGCTAAACATATCTATTAACAATTCACGAAGTTCACAGGCATCAGCACTGACTTTAGCAGCTAGCTGTTCAACACTACTTCAGATTTCTGTCTGTCTCAGATACCTATTCAAACGGAATGATTAAAAAAAAAAAATCAGGCAAACATTTTGGAACATAAGTTCAGCAAAAACTCAAAGGCAATGTTTTCTGTTTGTGAGCCAGAATGACCCAGCTCGCAACCAGTGTTTCTCCCCACAGTGGCATGGAGAAAGCACCCACAGGTGCCACTTCTCCTCGTGGCAAGATACATAACATGCTTGCAGCCAAAGTCCCCCCTGCCAAACGCCACGGAAACCCCATGTCCACAGGTTTGATCCAATGATTCTACAGGCCAGATCTGGCTTGCAGGCCATAGTCTGCCAACCCTGATGTGCTGTATTGTATATAGAAAGAATTCTACCTCCTATTCCTGCTCTATATTCCTCTGTTCTACCCAAGTAGTCTTATAGATCCATATGCTCAATCTGTGAAAATAAGATACAAACCCATACTTATTAACAAGCCATCTTACAGGAAACAAATGCACCAACTCGGAAGTTATTTTTCTTTAATTCCTTCTGTAATCTTTAGTCAAGACTACTGCCTTAGAACACCTAAATAATGTATGGCTTTAAGGTAGATGGTTGCCTGTCCCGGTTTGGGTGATGGTATGTGATTAGTTAAGACTGGGAAATGTCACTGCCTCAATATCATAGTTTACTTTCCTATGACTGCTTTGTATCAGCTGTTTCTAATTCCAAACCAATGTCTGTCTTTCATAGCAGTATGCGGTGAGATGGATGGATTTCCAGAAGTGCAGATACAAGAGGCAGCCAGAGTGCAAGATGTCCAGGAGTTATTTTCAAGTTAACAGGTAGGGCAGTGATATAAATGAATTTTCCAGGGTTCTATGAATATTTCACAGCTGTTGCTTCAGACTCCTGTCTGAGGTCTCTGGAGCATTCACTATTCTGGGATTTGGCAGACCTGATTTCCTTGGAGTCTTTCTTATTAAATATTGCAGTCTTATATAGAATTCTATAAGAGCTGAAATATATGCCAAAACAACATGAAAAGAGACAAAGCTATCAGTCTGCTTGCCAGGTACATGGCAAGCATTGAGTCTTTTCAAGTTTCTCAGAGACTGTCACCTTTGCATTCAGTGGTGTTGAGAATGGAAGCTTCTATGATTTTGAATGACAGTTTGTGAACAATTAGAGTCATAAAAAGAAAAAAAAAATCATGCTCAATTCATTGTGTGTGTCCTGCAGATAATTTAGATAAGTGTATGACAACCGTATTCAGTGGTCAGAATAAACGGACTGTGGCATTATTATCACAGCTTACAGCACTTGACCTGGAGACCTTTATCTGTTTGGGATGAAAATCCATTCAGGCCCTTCCATTAGGTGCTGTATTTCTGAGGGAAAAAAAAATCTTTAATTACATGGGTTTCAGAAAAGGGAAGAGAAGAAAAGGAATCTGCCTCAGTTAAAAACCGCAACTACTAGCTTCAAATGCTTTGCCTGAGAATGGTGCTGAAAGTACAAGAGAATTCAGTTGTGTTGCCATGTTTTTTTCTTGTTTATCGTATTTTCTCCAAGCGGGGGAAGGATATCATAGTGTTGCCACTACCACTAATATCTACTTGTCTCATTCCAAGAGTGTCACTATTCTGTTAAGGCCCAGGAAAGCCTTAGAGTAGACTGTGGCCCTGCATGATAGATCCAGTGTAGGGCCAGGCAGAGGCAGCTTGCAGTCCAGGACCTCGATCCCTGCACATGGGACTGGGCAAAGGTGGCACAGGGTTCCCGGACCCTGATCCCAGCACGTGGGACCGGGCGGCAGCAGCAGCATAGTCTGGCTCTGTGCATGCGGGCCCAATTCTGACATGTGGGGTCCAATCTTCCCTGCACATCAGCCCCATGCCACTCATTCGCTCCACAGGGCCAAAAAGATGAGCATCGCTGCCTTAGAAGGTTGCTCCACCGAGATTCAAGTTAAATTAACTTTAAGAAATACAGCTGCATGAAAACTTTTTTTCTGAAATGTCTTTTCCAGCGAAACATATCCTTATAATAAAAAATTCTCATGAAACTCCTCTTGAAAAGACATAAACCTGGCATCTTTTTTTTTTTTGATCTCTAGAAAAAAAAGTTTCTGTGTTCAGAATCCTCCTTTCCCTATTCTCCAGTGTAAAAAAAAAAAGAGCAAGAATGAGGAACTTTATTTATCCCTTTTATCCCTGGGAAACACCTTTTTTCCCCAACAGGCTTTTTGTGTTAAAGATCCAGTGAGATTCCTACAAACAGGCATGTTTGACAACTTGTAGCATACTATCATTTATTTATATTTGGGGGGGAATTTTAGGATCAGATCAGACACCCAGTGGAACAGTGCCAAAAAAATCTAACCTTTGTCACTAAGAAAATACAATATAATACAAATACAAATAGTACTTTTTGTGGGGGGGAAAAAGATCACAAAATAACTAAAGGAAAACAACAATAATTAGGTTGGCTTTGTAAAGAAAGATTGTCCAACCCTCCCCCCCC